CACAGCAACTTTACCCAACTTTAGGAGTAATCAGCAATACTGAAGCGTTGGAACAACTCTAAGCCTGCTGATGAGCTGCACAAACGTGTTGATATCGGTCGGCTAGCTCCGCTTTCCGCAGTATACACAACCATTCTAACTATGGCAGAAGGGAAGGAGAAGGTAGGAGGATTGTTTTTACGGTTCATGATTCAGGCGACTCTTAGAATAACTTCTACTTGAGAAGCTGTAACTATGAGGTCCTATCAAGAGCCTCTCCAGCTGCAGAGAACTAAGTTCTGGAATTCCCCCCTCTGCTCGCCCATTCCGGACAATCCTTAAATCCAAATATCACCTCCTTAAATCCAAATATCACCGTTTAATGACCCCGGAAGAGTGCTTCCGGCCTCCAATGAATTCAGAACTCCATCTAAATCTTCAGTAGGCCTCCTGATAAATGTTTATGGAATTGACGAGAAACCTAGCCTCCGAAAGCCACAGCTGGCTCCCCGGCCCCGCCCCCTAGTCTTCCTTTATAAGAGGAAGCTGAAAGACCCTGATATGGGAGTCAAGTAATCCAGAACCCTAGAGACCTGATGCCCTTCGGAAGACGCAATGACAGTCGTGAGGTCTAGGCAGTGGCTCAAACGTGGGGCACCCACTGCCCAGGGAAACGCTAGGCGCTAGCTAGCTGGGGTACAAACCGTCCCGCGAAGAGCGGAACCGGATGGTCGGAAACCAAGTCAGATCTGCGCGGATCCCAAGGCCCCAACCCTCTTCCACCACCCTCCTTCCTGTTTATGGATCCGCTCCCACAACTCCGACTACCAACGGGAAAGCAGACGTCTCCGAAATATGTCAACACATGACACAACTTGAAGAAGCCGGCTGCTCTTTGGCGCGAGTTACAACTTGCCGGGCTCACACTGGCAAACAGGCTCACTTTAATTACTTTTCATTTACTACGCCACGCTTCCCTTGCAGGGCCCCCGCAAAGGCCCGGTTAGTGAGAACCGGGGAGCCCCGGTGGAGGGAACCGAAATGTGTGGGCGGAGAGCCAGACACCAGGCTCTGCTCGCACAGGCGCAGAACCAAGGCTGGCACCGCCTCTCCGGCTGCAGCAAGGCACGGTCGCGCGGCGCGGTGGCCGGGGCCACGACACTGCGCGGAGAGGACAGGGCTGGCCGAGGGCCGGCCACCTTTGTCTGGGCTTCCCCACCCACCGGGACGCAGACTGCTTCTATGGAGAGAGGTCCGTGACCTGCTTCATGTTCTGGACTAGCTCGCCGTTGCCTGTAATCTCCCACTTCCCGCGCGCCCGACAACGCTGGTGGGCGCATCCCTGCGCTCCTGCACCATGGTCGCCGGTCGGTCGACGGGGTCGGACGGGCCACCGTGCCCACTGCAACCATCGCGCACATTGCAGAACCCGCTCCTGCCGAGCCAACCTCGTAGCACACTCGGGCCCGGCGGGAAGGTGCGACAGTCACGCACACGCGTGGCCAGCCCCGGCCCTGCCTCACCTGCTTGAACCGTGTCCGAGAGGTCGTGCCCCGGGGCTGCCGTCCGGGGAAACTCCTTCAGCTTCCTTGCGCTCAGGTTCAAGCCCCCAGAATTGGCCGCCTCCTCCAGCGCGCGCTCCAGCCCACGGTTCAAGGGCAGGTTGAAGCCCGCGCCTCCCGTGCTTCCGTGGTGCTGGTGGTGCTGGTGGTGCTGGTGGAGATGCGGGTGCAGGGTGGTTACCGAGAGGGCGGGCGTGAAAGCTTGGGGTTCGCTTCCCGGCGTCGCCATCTTCTCCCGGTCCCCCGCCCCGCTCCTGCGCGGGGGGTCACAGGTTTCCCCGGCTGCCCCGAGTCCCCGTTGTGCTCCCTCGCAAGCCGCGGGACGGCGGGAGGGGCGGCGGGCAGCGCAGACCTAGAGGCAGCCGCTCAGTCTCCAAAGGTTTCCAGCCCGGGAAGCCGAGGGCTGCGGTGGCGGCGGCGCGCATGTGTCTGCTCGCGCTCGCGCCCGCGCCCTCGTCCGCGCCCCCGCCCGCCGCTCCTCCTCCGCAGCTTCTCGGCGCTCCTCCCCCGACGCTGGCTAGAACTGGATGCGTTCTGGGTGACTTTCACTCCCGGGCCCCTCGGGGTTTACATCTGCCGCTCCGGGGTTTTTGTTTTGTTTCGTTTTGGTTTTTGTTTTTTCAAGCCATTTGGGAAAACCCGGGCGAGGCAAGAGATGCGATTTGAAAGGTGACAGAGAAGAGAGTTCTGGCTGATTGACCCAGAGTCCCCCCCAAAGGGCAATTTTTTCCACTGTGCGTTTGCCCTCACTGACGCCCCCTGGCATTTAGGTACTTACCACATAAATTCTCTCATTGAAACCAGGAAGCCTGTGAGTGGAAAAATTGCTTCCTTCAGTTGGCAAAGGAAGTTAAGAAACTGAGCCGAGATCACCCCTGCAAGAGTGGGAGGGAATTCGAACTCGCAGCCCACAGTCACAAGTTTTGCACCTTCAATGCAGACCACAGCGGCCAGACTTAAGTGCGAATAGACAAATCCAGAAGGAGGTCTTTGAGAAAGGATGATTTTACAATAAAATACATTGTCATATGAGGGAAAACCCTAATTGGGCCCCAAATTAGTACCCCAAGAGTTAGAAAGCCAAAGACCTAACACGCCAAAAGGCCACATCTTAAACCTAAGCCTAGATGCTGTAAGATTTTCAGTGTGCGCCTTCTGCTTGTCCATAGGAACATAGGAACGGACATGTCTGCTTGCGGACAAATGTTCTGCCACAGGTGACCTCCAGTGGGTACCCAAGCCAGGGTTTGCTCGCCATGGAAAGGCCAGAGGACCTGTGTCACCTAAAGGCCACCCAGCTGAAGAGCTGATAATGCCCCACTCCCTTACCACACCTTCAGAGCCAATTTCCTGGGACTGCACCCAAGGCTTGGCAGTCTCTATGGATGGGGTGACTCGGCTTGGGGAAATGAGGCTGGAGCGACATGTGGACGTGATACAACTTCATCATACATACAGCAATGCGACCTGACATAGTCTAGGCAGCAGTGCGGAGCTAGTGACTTCATGGGCTCAGCACTAAAAGTATGACATGATCTATGTCACTTGCATGGACTTCACTAAAGGGCTACCCTTAATTCCTGAGATTCCAGGCTGAGAGTAAATCATACTCGTCTTCCCGGAAGAAACAGGCGCCACCTACTGGTGTGTCCCCAGCCTCTGGCTCTTCTTCAGTCTCTCGAGGCATCGAGCTTAGTTTTTTCACCCTGTTCTGTGGGCTGTCTCTTTGCTCTGTTGCTTCCTTTGTGGTATGAAAGCATTTTAATTTCATTCAGTCTTGCTTGTCAGTTCTTACAGTAATTTCCCGTGGGCTTAGGGCTGGTTTCAGAAAATCCTTCCCAAGTCCTCTATCGTGAAGGGTTTTTCCTGGTCTCTTCTGACAGTTTAAGGTTGGTGCATCTGACATTTAGAGCTTTGCTACATTTTGAACTGATTTGGGGGCAGGGTGAAAGACAGAGATCAAGTTTAGTTCTTCCAAATATAGAATCCGGTTTCCCCAGCACCATGAGCTGGAGACCGTCTTTTCTCCGGTGTGTGCTTTGGGAACTTTAGTGGGAGAGCTGCAGCTGCTGCTGCATAGACCAATTTCTGAGTCTTCTGTTCCTTTGATTTACATGTTTTTGTGGGTTTTTTCCCCCTGTGGCTCTGTGGTACTTAGAATCTTGTACTGGATTCCTCCAGCATTCCCTTTTTATTCAAGATTGCTTTGACTACCCAGCATCTCTTGACATTTATGTTGTTAATGTCTAGGATGTTAAAAGAATGCAAAAAAAAAATTGAAACACCCAAGAAACCAATCCACTCAACAAACGGGCAAACAAAATGACCAGACACTTCTCAAAGGGTAATGTGCAAATTTGCTTTCTGTTGCTGTGATAAACACCATGATGAAAAGCAACTTAGGGAGAAAAGATTTCAGCTTACAGCAGCTTACCCATCATGAAGAGAGGTCAGCAGGAACCTGGAGGCATGAACAGAAGCAGAGGCCATGGAGGAACGCTTCTTACTGGCTGGCTACTTGTGGCTTGCTCATCCTGCTTTCTTATACGCCCCAAGACCACCTGCCCAGGCACGGCACTGACTGCGGTGGGCTGGGCCCTCCTACATAAACCATCAATCAAGAGAATGCCCCCACAGACTTGCCTACGGGCCAATCTGATGGAGGCATTTTCTCGATGGAGGGTCCTTCCTCCCAGATGACCCTAGCTTATGTCAAGTTGTCAAATAACCTAACCAGCACACACACTAATAAAAGGGCCCAAAGGGGCTTCGAAATTTCTTAAAATAAATGAAAATTTATTTACATCATTTAAACATGTGCCTACTCTTCCCACTTTCCCTGGTCCTCAGTATCCTTTGGCCGAAAATCTAGGAGATACTATGTTGTTCCCATAGATTACAAACCCAGTTCAGAACAAGAATTGTGAGAATACCCACCACACTGGGCATGAGTAGCTTCTTTTAAACAAACAAGCAAGAAACCCAATCCTTTCCTAAGGGGAACAATGGCAATGAGTCTATGCTTTGCTTTGAATAAATACGCAAGTCCTCCTGGCACACTAGCCCGGTCGTTGCAGCCTCTTGTGTCTTGTGCAGATTTCTGACCTTCAAACTCTGTGAGATTGGTACCAAGTCCTCTCCATTGGGGTGTCTCAGCATCCACAGCGTCCTGTGTGTAATGACTGTATGGCACAGAGTCACAGGTTGGTATTTGCTGGTCCATCTCTAAAGTTTTAGATGATTTCTCTGCACATAGAAAAAGTTTTTCCTTCAAGCTGAAGGGAATACTTGACTCTTGAAACTAATCTTGAATATTTCTAAAAATTGGGAAATGTAACCAGTCCTTCCAGGTGGCTGTCAACTGCTTCTCTGTTTCCTCAAAAGCATAGGCATGTCTCTTTTGTTCAATACCCTGTTTATTTCTTCTGAAAGCAGAGTCCTCTCCTTCTACCCCGTCTTTGCACATATAATAGTCTGTTAGGAGTGGCTGTGTTACTTCATCTGGACATTGCTGTTTCATTGCTAAATGGACTCACAACGATGCTGCGGAGCACCTAGAAGATCCTTTGACTGAGTCCGTACCCAGGCTCTGGTGCTCCAAGATCTCACCTTTGGTTTCTATGGACTGTCTATAGTAAACAGTGGACTCTCCCTATCTTCAAACTTGGCATCTACCAGTCCTGCATCCTCGTTATTTAACTAAGAACTAAAAAACATTCATAAAAAAATTCTATCAAAGATGTGCAGATGTTTTCCTTGTCATCCTTCCTAAGACAATATACTATGGGAACCTCTCATACATTGAATTAGGTATTACAGGGAATCTAGAGAGAATTTAAGGCATGGGGGGGGGCAATAAAGGACTTCAGCGTCTTCATGGCTCATTATCCACAGGGAGGTCCTACACCCAATCTCCTTTGGAATCACTATCTTTATAGTAATTGTATACTGGAAAACACCAAGAATTCTCTCTGAGTAGAAACCCAAAGTCACGTCGGGGCTTCACGGTCCCCTCTGCCCAAAGGTGACTGGACAAGAGGAATCCTGACACCAAATCCGGTCATCCATGGCCGACTAGTCCTCCCATCAGTCTCCCGATTGAAAATTCAATGAAAAACACATGGAGACCACAATCAAATAAGAACAGGCATTTGACCCCAAGGTCAGCAGAATCTGGCCTTATTTACACTTATTTACCTCGGTGTTCTCTAACCCTTCTGCCTTCATTTCTTCTTTAAAAAAAAAAAAAATAGGCAAAATATTCCCTGATGAACACTGCCCTTTTCTGGTCCCTCCCATCACATGCTCTCAGTACGCAAGTATTCTCTTTGTAATGTATCTGTAAATATTTGTCAGTAAATATCTGCAAGCCATCAGGGCATGTTGTATTCATTAGCTTTCAAGGGCAGGGATTGGGTCTTTTGTTTTCACCCAGTGCCTGGATGAGTCAATAAATCATGGTGTCTGACTGAGATCTTTTGAGTTCTGCAATGCAGCTACAACTATCAACATGGGTTTCTCTGAAGATTATAAATGTTACTATCTTGGACATGTTACAGACGTTTCTCTAATGTTCCAGAACACTAGTCTATGAATCAGTTTGTGACAAAATGACCCTAATAAAATGAGAAAAATTAGGACAAGTTTGGCGAATTTTTTTATATAAAATTAGATGCATTGAATTTGAAGAATTCTATATAGTCTTGAGACTGTGCCTTTCCTTTTTCCTGGCAGAAAAAAAAATGAAACCGTGATAATTAGTTATAATATTAATATTCCTTTTGGAAAAAACAAACCAGCAGTAGACTGCCAAAATGAGCTCACAGTTAGTTCTCCTCGTGTTACTTTCTTATGCGCTCCAAAAGGCCAAGAACTACCCTTGAAGGTTCTCTCCCTCTGTATCCCCAGCTTGCTTTGAAGTCGACTCCTGATCCTCCGTCTTTCCCTCATAAGTGTTGGGTTTATGAGTGTGCACTACCACATCTGCTTTATGAGGTGTCTGAGAGTGAGCACAGGGTCTGTGCTTCCTCGGCAAACACTCTACGGAGCTAGAAGATCCCAGCTTCTTGGCTTTCCAAAAAGGAAGTTGTTAGTCCTGTGCTCCGGTTGTCTGCCTTCAGGCGTTCTCTCCAGCTTCGCCCACAACGGCAACCTGATGCAAGGCCCACATATCCTGCTTTGTTTGGATCTTGGCTGCCACCACCCTTCTGTTTTCTGGGGCTTTCTCGTTCTGGAAATTACCCTAAGCCTGAGAAGATGCTGTCTGCCTTAGGTTTTTAAATCTTTCATGGCTCACTGTTACCCACCCTCAACTTCTTTTTCTCTCTCTCTGCCCCAAATATCACATGGAAACCCTCGGTCCCTTCACAGGCACTTGCTCCTCCTCTGTCTAGCTCTGCTCTGCCCCATCTCCCTATTCTCT